CTCTCTCCGCCCCCTCTTTTTTTCTTCTCTCTATTTAGTTTTTCATCTTTTTTGAACCCCCTTCTTCCTAAATTTTCTATTCTATTTTAGCAAAATTTTCGAAATTTTCAGATTTGTTTTTTTTTAATTAAAAGAAATCCCACTTACAAATTGCTTTTATTTTTTTAGAAAAAAGAAATCCCACCTTTATTTACTTTTATTTTTAAAATTTCAACTTTAATTACTTTTATCTTATTTAAAATCCTACTTTTATTTTTTTAAAAGAGAATCTCACTTTATTTAACTTTTCTTTAAAAAAAACAAACCACTATCTTTTTTTTTTCTTTTAAAAATGCTACTTTCAATTACTTTAAATTTTTTAAATTTTCAGATACCTTTATATTTATTTTTTAATTCCAACCTTCTTTTACTTTTTATTTTTTTTACAATTTCCACAAAACTTTTTATTTTTTTAAATTTTCTACATTCTTTTAGTTTTTTTAAAAGAGAATTCCACCTATTTTTACTTTTATATTTTTTTTATTCAATACTTCCATTTTTCTTATTTTTTAAATCAATCCCGAAATTATTATTATTATTTTTAAAAAATAAATAAATAAATATTTTCGGATTTTTAATATAAAAAAAAGAAAAAATAAAAAAAATATTAATAGTGATAATTCACCTTTTAATTTTTTTTGTTGGTATTTTTATCCTATAATAAAAAATGTAATAAAGCTAAAATAATAGTAGGTTAAAACCCCCTAAAATATTTACATAAAAGAAGTGATAAAAAATTAAATGTTGTCAAAAATTAGGTGTTCAGAGGTGCCAAAAAGATCGAATGGAGGAGAATCGGAGACCAATCCTGCTATCGTAAAGATACTAGAGGAACTGATGAAGCGAACCGAGATAGGGGAAAAGAAGATCGAGGAAAATGATAAGAAGGTGAAAACTTATAACTCCAGGGTCGACCGAATCTTGGGAGCACCACCGGTATTGAAAGGACTTGATTCCAAAAAATTTATCCAAAAATCTTCCCCCCAAGTGCGGCTCCGAAGCCAATACAAAGAAGTTCCGTATGCCCGAGATTCTAAAGTATAACGGGATGACAGATCCAAACGAACACGTCACCTCATATACGTGCGCCATCAATGGAAATAACTTGAAAGATGATGAGATTGAATATCCAGTTGTCACTTGGGCCGATGTACATAATCAATATCAATAGAAGATCAGGGTCGAGGATGATCAATTGGGGCCCCAATAGGTTCGATTTATCCTAACAGGCCCGTGGACAGAGTTAAAAGGGACATCGACCGAGAACCACGATCGAACAGAGACTGATATCAGCCATACGGTGGAGATCTAAGAAATAACGGGCCTGGACGCAACTCCGTTCGGAATGATAGAAGGAATGATCGAGGATAGAGCTCCCAAGGGCTCATGAGCAAGAGTGGCTTCGATAGGGATGCCGGATCCAAAGAAGCACCTCGATTGTCAGAATATAACTTCAACATAGATGTTTCCGCCATAGTATCGTCCATTGGACATATCAAAGATACTAGGTGGCCCCGACCTCTGCAAACTGATCCTACCCGGAGAAATCCAAACCAAATATGTAAGTATCATGGCACCTATGGCCATAAAACAGAATATTGCAGACAACTAAGGGATGAAATAGCCCGACTGTTCAACGAGGGGCACCTTCGAGAATTCTTTAGTGATGGGGCCAAGAACCACTTCAAAAATAGGGATTCAAACAGACAGAACGAGCAGGAAGAGCCGCAACACGTGATTCACATGATCGTTGGAGGGATCGATATTCCTCAAGGACCGGTATTTAAACGCACCAAGGTGACGATCACAGGGAAAAGCAAACATAGGACTACTTACCGGAAGAGACTTTGTCTTTCAACAGCGAGGATGCAGAAGGAATCGAACAACCTCATAACGACGCACTGGTAATAGCTGTCCTTATGAATAAAATTCAAGTTAAACATGTTTTAATTGATCTAGGTAGCTCGACCAATATTATTCGATCGAGGATCATAGAACAACTCGGCCTACAAGATCAAATTGTGCTAGCAACCCGAGTACTTAACGGCTTCAACATGGCGAGTCAAACCACCAAAGGTGAGATTATTTTGCTAGTGAGCGTGGTCGGAACCATTCAGAAAACGAAGTTCCATGTAATCGAGGGTGACATGAGGTACAATGCCTTGCTCAGAAGGCCTTGGATCCATAACATGAGGGAAGTACCCTCGACCCTTCACCAAGTTCTGAAGTTCCCAACATATGAGGGAATTAAAACAGTGTACGGGGAGCAACCCGCCGCCAAGGAGATGTTCGCAATCGATGAGGTGATACCAGTGTCAGTGCTTTATTCCGCAAAGGGATCGTATTCAAAGGGAAAATATGAGGCTAAATAGCAACCATAGACACCAGCCTCGACCTAACTGTAGATGCGAGGGACCGATGAGGACGACAACTATGGGATACCTCGGTCTTTCATAGTTCCTAATGAATCCGACACCACCAAACCAATGGTTGAAGAGTTGGACCAAGTCACACTGACCGAACATCAATCCGAATGAAAGGTATAACTGGGCACGGGGCTAACCCCCGTGCTCAGGAAAAAACTTATTTATTTCCTTACAGTTAAAATGAATTGCTTTGCTTGGTACCACCTCAATATGAAGGGATCCCGCCGGAAATTACCACTCATAAGTTGAACTTGGATCATAAATTCAGCCCGGTGAAGTAAAAAAGAAGGCCCCAGACCGAGAAAACATGCCTTCATCAAGGACGAGGTAACCTAACTTCTCAAAATAGGATCCATTCGGGAAGTAAAGTATCCCGAATGGCTAGCAAACGTAGTGGTAGTCCCTAAGAAGGGAAACAAACATAGAATGTGTGTAGATTATAAAGACCTGAATAAGGCATGCCCCAATGATTCTTTTCCTTTGCCGAACATCGATCGTATGATCGATGCCACAGCCGGCCATGAGACTCTCAATTTTCTCGATGCCTATTACGGGTACAACCAAATACAAATGAACCCGAAAAATCAGGAAAAAACTTCGTTTATCATGAAGTATAGCACCTACTGTTATAATGTAATGCCATTCGGACTAAAAATGGCTAGTGCAACCTATCAACGCCTAGTAAATCAAATGTTCGAAGAACAAATAGGGAAATCTATGGAAGTTTATATTGATGACATGCTAGTTAAGTCCCTGCGAGCAGAGGACCATCTAAGCATTTGCAGGAAGCCTTCGATATACTGAGGAAGTACAATATGAAGCTCAACCCAGAAAAGTGCGCATTCAGGGTTGGCTCAGGCAAGTTTCTCGGTTTCACGGTGTCCAATCGGGGGATCGAGATCAACCCTGATAAAATCAAAGCTATCGAGGATATCAAGGGTGTAGATAATGTAAAGGCCGTGTAGAGGCTAATCGGGCGCATATCTGCCTTGGGTGATTCATTCGAGGTCTTCAGACCGGAGTCACCGATTCTTCTTACTGCTTAGGAAGAAGAACAATTTTGCATGGATCCCGGAATGCCAGCAAGCATTGGAGGAACTAAAGCGGTACTTATCAAGCCCGCCGCTGCTTCATACCCCGAAAATGGACAAACAACTTTACTTGTACTTGGCAGTCTCGGAGATAACGGTAAGTGGAGTCCTGGTCCGAGAAAAACAAGGTACTCAATTCCCTGTTTATTATATTAGTCAAACCTTAGGTGAGGCTGAGACTAGATATCCACACTTAGAAAAATTAGCGTTTGCCTTAGTAAGCGCCTCTAGGACACTAAAGTCTTACTTCCAATGTCATCCAATATGTGTTGTGACCACTTATCCTCTTCGAAATATTTTGCACAAACCCGAACTGTCGGGCCGATTGGCCAAATGGTCTATCGAAATTAATGGGTACGATATTGAGTATCGACCCTGAACCGCCATCAAGTGTCAAATCTTAGGAGACTTCGTGGGTGACTTTTCGCCGACCCTCGTACCCGAGATTGAAAAGGAAATGCTGATGAAATCGGGTACATCTTCGGGAGTTTGGACCGGTAGTGCACGACAACAATTGACAGGAATTTAATGCCTCGATATCTGAACCAGCGGGATGTTTCAGTGCCCACTTGTCACTGACATCACAGTCGGACTCGTCGCTTACGTTATGGCTCATTGAGATGGGATTGGGAAAAGTCAAGTCATTTCTTGTTGTTAATCTCCAGAAAACAAGGGGACTATCTGTATACGGTCAAAATCGGGCTTTGCCCTTTGTGAGAGACTAATCGAGGATGGATCTCGATAAGTTAAGATCGGCACCGATTTATGATGGTCCATAACACGGGGATGAATTGCTAAGCTCATGAATCGATGGCCGATCAAGATCGAGACCAGCCATGATCGAGATTGAAGCATGAAAGAGATCGAGACCAGCCATGACCGAGATCAAAGCAAGAAAGAGATCGAGCGAGATCGAAGGAAGTCTGTTAAGTCGGATAACGGAAAGCCGAGATATACGTGATCGGGCAAGGATCGTGGAGGAAATCTCGGCATGCATCGAGTTAGGATTGGTCATTTAGCCACTCATGGGATTTCCTTCCATAGTTAGAATTGTACCATAAGTAGAAATCCTCTACTATATAAAGTGGGTTCTAATCATTTTGTAATTATCATACATTCACGCATAACCAAGCAATATATTACATTTTTTTTATCTCTTGAGAGCTTTGTTGTTCAATTCATACTTTCCATAGCCTACTCAGTTGGTTCGAGGGCGATTAGCTCGAGGGCCACAATTGTTCATCACATTGGTTTGCTTTACTTTACTGTTAATTCCTAGTATTAATTCTCGTATTCATCAATTTGTGCCAAATGAAATCACATATCCTTAAAACTACTTATAAGTTTAATTGTTATCCAATTTTAAGGGTAAGCGGGACAAATGGAAAAATCCTTAAGATTAGACAAAATGAAAATCAAAAGGACCATTTGTGTAAAAACATTACCTTATATATCCGGTAAAAAAATTGCAGGGTTCACCCTAATTTAATAGGGCTCTGAGCTCTTATCTATCCATCTATCATTCCATAGCTTCAGAAAAAGAAAAATGAAAGAGAATAAAAAATAAGTAAAATAAAGGAGATATTTATACTATTAGTCTGTGAAAATCTACAGTGAACCCTTGGAGAGAAAGAGTTGTTAAGATTGCAGCTTTTGCATTCAAAATACCGGAAAAAGAAGCAATTCTTGAATAGGGGTTTGAAGAGAAGAGGATAAAGATATTTCCTTTGTGAGCAAAGTTGCAGCCGGTGAAAGAATTCCATATAAAAAGGGATAAGATTTAAACAGCTTTGAGGTGAAGTCTGCTGATACCCTTTTGCTCTTTCTTAGTATTTCTTGTTTAATTATGCTTAAATGTTTTCTGGTCTTGAATGAGGAAGCCTTGTTGATAAGGGAAGATGAAATAGCTCAAAATCTTCATTATCACTCTCGTTTGTTTTAGTTAGTAATTACTCAGAAATAGGTCTTTTTGGTGTTTTGTTTCTTTCTAGCAGTTTGTGTTCTGTTTTTATGCTGCTAAAGTCTCTATATGCTAATTGCTTTTTGACTTAAACTAGTTCGATGCTCAAGGCATCCCGCATTCACAGAGTGTCCGGGGAAGGGCAACACCTCAAGGGTGTAATGTACACAGTCTACCCTAAATGCTAATTGTTTTTTGACTTGATAAGAATAAAAGTGACATTTTTATTCTTATTCTATGTGAAACTTTGGACCCCTATACAGCGTTATTCATACAGATAATTTATATAGCCAACCCGAGCAGTTTAGGGCTGAGGGTAGTTGAATGATTGGTTGATTATATTTGTCAACTTCTCTGCAGCAATACGCCTATGGTTATATCAATGTCTACTAAAAGCAAAATTCATTTTTACTTACCCAGAGAACAAAGCTCAAATTTTTGCTTGTATACTATGCTTATGAAAAATGGGATGCAAATTTAGTCTTTTGAGCTTACTGTCTAAATCGGATTTTGAAGGTTCACTTTAAAGGATGTGTGTCTGTAAATTTTGTTGCTAATAAGCTCCCTAAAATTGTGTATCCATTAGATATCTGTCTTTTCACTTTCTTTATTTGATGAAGTCAGATTTCTAGATATCTGTCTTTCATGTAAAATGGTTGTTTCGTCACTTAACAGGTTTCATTTGGCAAGCTTTACAGCTTGTGTTTTCTATCCTGAGATTGTTTACAGAATCTATATATTATGAACTCTTTGTTGATGAGAACTAATTGAAAGTGAGACATGGAATCTTGTGTTGTGCATGTCTTGCTTCTTATGGACTCATATCGTCTTGCTTTATCAGTTTTCTTTATCTAGTTTGTCAATTAAAAGAAAAAAAGCAAATGTGTGATCTCGAGATGTGACTTCATAAGTTGTTTTATAATTTTTCTTTGTGGATGGATTTGCAGAACTCAGCTGCGTGAAGTATCTTCTGCTTATCTGATCATCATTTGGCATTAACAGTCAGAACGGGATAATGGCTGTTTGTGGTTCAAGAACTTCTCACATTGGCCATTTTGTTGGTAATATCACTGCTAGGCGCTTGCAATGTGGTTTGTCAGTGAACTGCACTGTTTTTTACAACAAAAGAGGCTTTGAGGAAGTTAGAAAAATCAACATGAGTTTGAGAAATAAAGGACATCCCAACAATATGCTTTTCCAATACTTCACGACTCATGTTACAAAGAGGTGGGCCGATCCCAAATCATACATAGGATTTGGATCAGAAGGTTTACACAACTTATCCCCTGCGTGTTTCTCTTCTGGAACTGCTTCTGTTCCTGGTGTTTCTTCGGATAATGCTAAGGGCGAGGAGCAAGTTGCTAATACTGCTGCTGATTCTTCTGAAGCAAAGATCCCCTTGAAGCTAAATTCAGGATCTTTTTACCTGCCTCATCCTGCTAAAGCAAAGACTGGTGGAGAGGACGCTCATTTTATGTGTACCCTTACACAAGCTATTGGTGTAGCTGATGGCGTTGGTGGATGGGCTGATCTTGGTATTGATGCTGGGCTCTATGCCCGTGAATTAATGTCCAACTCTTTAGCTGCGATTCAAGAGGAACCAAAAGGCTCCATAGACCTAATCAGGGCACTGGATAAAGCTTACGTGAAAACAAAAGCAAAAGGTTCTTCTACTGCGTGTATTGTTGCACTCACCGAGGAGGGTCTTTATGCAGTTAATTTAGGAGATAGCGGATTTATGTTGGTTAGACATGGATATGCCGCATTTAAATCCCCTGCACAACAACATGGTTTTAATTTTCCTTATCAACTAGACTGCAATAATGCTGGCGATTCGCCTAGCTCGGCCATGGTGTTTAAAATTGCTGTTGCACCTGGAGATGTCTTAATTGCTGGTACAGATGGGCTTTTTGATAACTTGTATGACGAAGATATCAAAGGAGTTGTACTTCAGTCCGTGGAAGCTGGCTTAGGGCCTCAAATGACTGCTCGGAGGATAGCAGAACTGGCACAACAAAGAGCAATGGATCCTATTAAGTCGTCGCCTTTCTCTGATGGAGCTCAAGAGGCTGGTTTTGAGTACCATGGTGGGAAGTTGGACGACATAACTGTAGTTGTTTCTTACATAATGAATAATGAAAATTCATAACATGCTGGAATTTGGGAGACATGGAGAACTGGAACTTGTGAGTTGTGACCAGCTTGGTTTATAGCTTGTAGCTGATGGAGATTCGGACATTTATAGTACCAAGTGGCATCAGTTAGAATATTTTGTGTTTTGATTTGTTTGGAGAACAAATGAAAAGAATGAGAGCTCTTAAGCCCCCATATTGGGTCTAGCTGAGGTTTAACCTCTCAGTTTCACCCCAAGTGTTTTACTTTTTGAGATTCAAACAACATCTTAGAATTTATTTGAGGAATGATTTTCTTCTGTTTACTTAGTAGAGGCATTACTTGATAAAAGGTTAGTGTTGACACTAAATTAATATCTACTTGCAGACGAGTATGCTCCCTGAAAGTGTCCTTTCTATATATGCTCTCAGAAAGATTGAAAGAATTATCCGCACAACGAATGCTTGGAGTTATAGAAACTGATAATTGATTAGTAGCTAATAATATAATACTGTTAATAGTAAAATCATTAGAATGCTAACTTTGGAATTCATATTTAGCTCCCTCAGATGCTTGAAATTATACCTGTTATATGGTATTGAATTTTGACACTAGTGTTTTAGCATGTCACAGGAAAATTAAAAATTTCCTACTGCCCTCAGACTGAAAAAGTAACTAATGACACAGCTAACTACTAAGAGTTGTACTAAAGAAATTTTTACTGCTTCCAGAAAGGACATGATTGAGCACCAACTCTTAAAATTCAAAAATCAATTTGGATGACTTGTCCAAATACAGGAAATTTTAACATAAATATGTACCCCGAAGGTGCCCCGCAACATAGTGAAGAGGAAGAAAAACAAGGGAAAACAAAACTTAGGTGAAGTTTAGAATAGACTGCTCTTCATATTTCCAGCAGTAAGTAAACTGAAAAATGGATCTTCTTTATCTACACTAGGACTAGGATTATCACCCTTTTGCATTCCATGAATGCCAAACTCCAACTCACTCTTTGTTGACACAGCTGGTCTTTTAACTGAAACAAATGCAACATTATTCTTTGATCCAGGTTTGGCTTTTGCCGGATTCTTGATGAGTGATGAACTTGGGAGTGCTCCAGCTTCAGGAGCATTAAAATTATTGCCTGAAGGTCCTGCAATAGCTAAATCACCTTGAGCTCGAAATTCATCCTTACCCTCTTGGATAGGATCCTGCAAAGAAGTTGCTTTATCTTTGTCCATTACAGCTTGAACATATTCCGCCAAATCTTTAGGATTCTCCGGGGAATTTGCTGTATCTTTGTCGATAACAGCTTCATCATCCTCAGCCAAATCTTTAGAGGCTGTCTTTCCAGGTTCCTCGTCTACACAAGATCCCGGAAAAAGTGATGCACAAAATTATAGAGGAAAAACACTGAAAATCAGCAACAAACAAAGAGCCAATTTGCAGTTACTGAAAAAGTTCTAATTAACAAAATGCACAAAACTGGATTTTGCTGGCAAACAAATTTTAAAACCGCGATTGTCTAAGATCTCGAAATCATCACCACAAGCCTGGGTATGCATAAATTAACACTAGAATCAATGAGTGTTTCTTATCATTTTGCTACAGCCTCTCTTTTATTTTCCTTTTTCTTCCTTAGCAGAAAAGGATAGATCATATCCTGAAGATAGCAATAAATATTCAAAGCCAAAGCATATATAACACTCTTTATCAACTTATCTACAATTATATGTTGCTGAAGAAAATGATAGGGTGCTGTATCAGGTAGGCCTTTCTTGTATAGTATAAAGCAGATAACCAGGGAAAGTCATGTGATGGGGGAAGAAATTCCCCAATGATTCTATCTATAGCTTCAACGAGTAAGAAGCACTAGATAGACATGCAATAGACACGTCTTCCATGCAAACAAAGGACAATACCTGGTAAGACAGATTTATTGTCAAACTGAATGATAAAAACTGGCAAACAGCAAAACACTGGATAATACTGTCTTAAATGATATCGAGCTCAAACAGATTTAATATGTTCGATAAAGAAAACAAGACAGTGAAAAGAATTCTTGTTTCGTGGTTACCTCCTAGGAAAATCTCAATGCTTTCATACTGAATTTTAGATGCTTCTACAGAAACATCTTCTCCAACCTCCTTTTCCTTGCTTCCCACATCTCTCTCATTTTGTCTCTCAACTAACACATACTTATCAGATTTCCAAAGACATTCGAGGAATACCACATCCTGCTTTGGCGGAAAGTATTCTCTAAAAACCTGCAATGGCACAAAATATTGAACATTTGCTTTCTTGATTTCATCTAAGAATTGTTATTGATGACTATCATAGTTCACTTAGTGATGGGACCAACATGTATATTTTGTCACAACAATCAGCACAAAGACAGTTAACTAGTATCGTGTTCCACTATTTACTCTGAGAAACATCTTACTGTCCACCAACACACACGAAGGACACACATGTAGGGTTAACTTGGTTGTTTGGGGGAAGGGGGTTGCTAGTCACACCTGGAGTGATTCTAAGCAGTTGGCATTAAAGAAAACATGGTTTCCTGGAAAAGTACATGTCTGCAGTTTAATACACGAGAGGTAATTGGAAACACTTTGACTTAATGATTAAGAAATTGAAGTAGCTTTGGAATCTGTGCAGTCTAAGCTATAAAAATTGAGATAGACACTAGGATATTTGAGGCCTCCAGAAGATCTGAAAAGAAATATTGCAGTACATCATGCACACTGTAACCAGTAATCCATATAATAAGAAGCATGGCTCCTAATTAGAGAAACCAGCAGATATCTGTGGCTCGGAAGTTGGAATATGCCCACGATATTTTCTTCTTGATAAGTACATCCAAAGAAGTATATCATTTTTCTTATCTCGACATTGTGCCTGCAAGTAGTATGACTCTCTTGAACTTTCTAACCATTTCTTGACCTTAACAGAACTAATAAAACCAATCAAAAAAGCAAGTTAAAACAAAGGGAATAAAAGAAGGAAACGAATTTCTTGCATTACACCAGAAAAACATAGAGACAAGTTGCGAAGAATTTAACAACCTCAAATCCATCTTGCGTCAATTTTATGGCTTGTTCCCTCTGAGATAAAGAGGAGACACTGTTGAATACACAAACAACATCAAGAAGCATCTGCGATGAATAAAGCAGATTTGATTAGAATTTCCTGTTCAATCACCGGACATCCTTAGCAAATTTGCTCAACATAAGCTTTTCACTTCCTCAAATATTGCATGTTCCTAAAAGAGCAAAAATTCTCATGTTATTTACATGATTCCCATTCCCCTAGACTCTTGAATTAGATCAGTTACTCCAATTAAATAAGTTCCAGAAATTATCATGACTCCAGTGTATTATACTAGAAACTAGAACTTCAACAAATTGAAAATTTGAAAGAACACAATCGATGTGCAGGACCTTTACTATTATAAGTACAACAACAACAACGCCTTAGTACACAAGTTGGGCCGGCAACCTCTACTATTATAAGTAAGACTAAGAAAAGAGCATTTAAAATGATCAAATTTTACTTACTTGAAAATGATAAAACTATCCTGAGAATACTTACTTGCTGAACTAGAACTCTTATTCGGGCGAGCAAAGCCAATACTGTCAAGGAAAATCCCATAAAAAATGATCGTGCAAGAAGTGTCGAGATCTCCCTGTCTACAGTTAAGGGTAAAAAACAATCGAGCATGGCAAACATTTTACATGGAATTTGCATGAAAAAGCACATTGATCAAGTGTTACTTAAATGAAGGGCAATTGAAAAACGAACTCAACATACAAATGAGATGAAAACAGGACGGATGAAATTACGAAGATACAGACAAAAGAAAAAAGAAGAAGGAGGTACAATTGATATCCAACTAAACCAATTTAGCAAACCAGTAATTTTACGGCCGAATCAGCTTGCATAAAAGTCTAGTAGTTTTGAAGAACAGAAAAGGTTTGCTACATATGCTAATAAGTACGCACCCACAGTGATTTCAGACAAACCCTCCTTACTCCAATCACCACCACACACCCCGAGAGCTATGAAAGAAAATGAACAACTTAAGCTCTTCCTATTACTTAAAGATGTAACTAGTCTAAAAGAAATCACCAATGGCCTTAATGGCCATCAATTGGAATACGTAAAGCTCCCATAATCAACATATCAAATGAAGTATTAGTATGCAAAAAAGAAGCAAGAAGGATACGTAGCGGCCCTTAACATTGGCTCAACGATCTGCAAGAAAAGAATAAGCAAATTAAGAATTATAACTGAATAAAATGATAAACTTAAAGTTTTCCTTGTTCTAATATGATTCTTATTATAAACACCGTCCAGCTTATGTTAGGACATTTGATTAGAATTAGAGAGAGAGATAGAGAGAGAGAAATCATCATTCCAGTAGTTATATGGAACAACAACAATTACGCCTCAATCCCAAACTATTTATCAGCTATATGTATCCTCACTTCTTCATGTTGTTCCATTTAGACCCATCTCAATCCGATATTCAATTTTAGGTTCTCCAAATAGAAGTTCTCTACATTTTCTACTGGTAGGTGTGAAAGACTGAGCCAAAAATCGCCCAGCTTCAAGCGATCATTTAAAGGCAGGGGACGAGTTGAAGTTATTAATGCCAGTAAATTCTAGCAAGCAATCCTCATGGTAGGCTGAGTTTGGCAATCCAATACCATGAGTTATCTTACGGACTAGGGCGAATTGTTTTAGATGGAGAACAACAAGAAGTGAGAAAGAAAACAATGATACCTCTGACAACAGGTGTGCAACCCCTAGAAGCCGCTCCAGAAAGTTATGTTTGCCACCATCACATCTTCTCCTCTTTAGGCTGAGACCCAAGAAAAGTGAGGATGAAAACTTCAATACGTCTAAAATCATCATATATCAGAGCACAGGCAGAGAGAATTTGTATGTATAGTTCAATGGAGGAGCAAGACACAAATAATGACAACTCTATTTCCATCACAGTAGGATTGCTAAAATAGTCTCACTTGCAACTTGTAAAATTTTACCCTCCAATCTGCCGGTTAACGAAGAGATGGACAGAACTTGCAAACTGTTGCTATAACTCTCATAAACAGCCACTTTTTCCATGACAAAACCTAGAACTGATCTTGCGCTATTCACCCTTCTGTGGAGATACTTTCAAACAGCAGAATGGTAGACTATCTAATTTAACAAATGGTGGAGATCAAGTAATAGTCAACCATCACAGTCGGCAAATAGTTGCACTTGCGAGCAATACAAAAAGATGGATGATTATTGATAAACCATCATATAAGTTAGGAAGACAATTTCAGTTTCAAGATTCCGTGTATGTCAGTTCAATTTTTCCCACTGAAAAATATTAGTAAACATCAATATAGGAGCAGAAAAATGCAAGAGCATGATAAGCGCTCACTCTCAAATCAAAATTTACTCACTGTAGACATGAAAAGGTGGTATACATTTATGATGTAATCAAATTCCAAATATTGGTGTAAGATCACAAGAAGAACTAAAATATTTAAAATCTTAAAACCAAAAAATAGGTACTCTAAAGGGGTCAAAGTACCTTTCTAAGAGCTGCACTTTTTGCTTGGGTCTTTTTCCATAAAGAACTTGAAAGGAAGCACTCAAAACCTCCTCCAAATTAGCTGCTTGGAGGAGCCTCAAATCTGTTCTCACCTAATATCAGCAAAATAAGTATATAAAGTAAGTACACTTTTGACTAAAATCAAACCCCCCTCAATCCCCATATATATATGAATAAACTTTGGTAACAACCTTTAAGAGGTACTGGAAATAGGAGCATCTTCGATGCTAGTAGTTTATTATAAAAATAAAGCAAACCCCATTTGTCCAACATGCACATATGAATAAAATTGGTAAATATACAACCTTTAAGAGGTACTGAAAATAAGAGCATCTTCTATGCTGGTTCTTGTTTTTGTAAACGAGTCGATCAAGAATGGCAAACTCTGTCTGGAGCGTCACTACAAAAGCTTTTAGCCTCTGATCAACTATTTCCATCTCTGAGCCCATAATTTCAGCTGTCATGAAGCAAAACCATAAGACATAATACGAAAATTGTGTAGCCAATACATGTTGAGATTCTCTGCTTTTCTAAATACAACACTGACCCTATTTCATGTTGTCCTAAAGCCCATTAGCAGTAGGACTGGGCATCCGTCAATTCGGTTTGATTTTTGGAAAGTTTTGTTAGGTTTTTCAGTTCTCGGTTTTTATAATATTGCAAACCTCAGGCTTAGTTCAAGTGGAAAAGGGTCGAGGGACTAGTGACTTAGGTTACAGGTTCGAGCCCTGTGCCATGTGAACTAAGCTTGGTGTTTAAGCGGAGAAGGATAGAGGGTCCTAAGGGTTGCCCCAGACATATTTCTCGGTTATCAGAAAGAAAAAAACAAGTTCCATTAGGTTATTCTGGTATGCGGCTCTCCGAATTGGGCTTCATCTGGCCAAAATGGGCTTCCAAACCTTTTTGCTTTTTCAAATTTTGCATCTGGCACAAACAAAGGGATATTTGATGGCTTAATTTCTGTAAAAGTGGAAGGGGCCTAATGTCTAATCTCAAGGCATGCATATAAAAATTTGAAGCACCACATCAACTGCCCTTCAAATTGTAATACATATACATTGCACTTTTAACTATTTAGAATCCAATGACAACACTATTCACAATTTCATCTGCTTCAACTAGCAAAGAAAATTACTCAAGCTTGAATATCATAGAGGCAAAGCAACATTGGACATAAAACAGTAGCCCATAATAAAGCAACGGACGAGAAAAATATAGCATAAAAATGATCCCCACAGCAACAACAACAACCCAGTAGAATAACACTAGTGGGTTTTGGGAGTGTAGAGTGTACGCAACCCAGGGACAGAGAAGCGGTTTCCGGAAGATCCTCGGCTCAACATACGAAATAAAAATGATCCCTAGTAAAAATAATTTTGTTTATACTATTCAATTAATTAACTCAGAATACAAAAATAAGTTAAACGGAATTTGTTTGCAGAATTACAAAGCTGGCTGATTCAAATACTAACTTAGTAATAATTCAATAACATAGAAGAGCTAAGAGGAGAGTTAAATACCTCTAGACAAGGATGGTGATGGTGGCAACAGCGACGGAGACGGAATGTGAGTTAGGGTAACTTTTATTTACAGATTTGACAATTAAAAATCAAGACTGCAAAAGAAGCTGGATTCCCCAATTCCTGCAAATAAAGCAGGTATAATAGTTAAAAGCATCCAACAGTTGAAAAATTATCAAAATAATATATATTGAATATAACATGTATATTTTCTTTCGGTAATTAAAGAATATAACATGTATATAATACCATAATTAACAGTGAAAAATAAAATCAATATAACAATAAGAGTAAAAATACTACAATAAAATATTTTCAGTATAAAAGGTATATTATTATAAGTGTATCCACATAATTGGAAATAAGATTAAGAGTCCGTTTGGATTAGCTGATTTAGTAGATAAGCCAAAAAGTGTTTATAAGCCAGTTTGATCAGCTTATAAGCTTAGCCAAACATCATCTAATACTATGACACTAACAAACTTGGAATATAGAAGGAATAATATATATTATATATATTTATGGAATAATTTTGTAGTTTCCATAGTTAATTATATAATTGGTATAATTATAAAAAGAAAAAATTATATCTCAGTACATGCATATTTTAATGATTTTGATTGTATCAGCAGAAGAGAAAGAAAAAATGGTGAGGGAATCGGGTGAATTTTCTTAAATCTTGTATAATGAAACAAATAGACACGAAAAATAAATTTTAAGAATGATGGGAGACCATCTTAAATGGCTGAAGTTGTTCCCAGTTTTATCCCCTTAAAACGCTATCTTTGGGTAAATTATAGATAAATTTATTATAACGAAGAGAGAGAAAATGGAATAGATTAATAAGGACCAAAACCTGATCCCTTACTTTGTTGATGAGTATTTATTTTTAAAATCTTAAAAACATGTTATAAATGTAAATAAATCTGTTATTTTGGAAATAAATCAAAAGTTATTATTTATCACAATAGTTTTCAATCAGTGTTGTACCGTGTTAAAATCGTAAAAATTACACGGGCCGCCCTATTTGGGAATAGGGCGCCCCTTTTTAATCTGTAGCCGCTTTGTCTTTCTGTTTGCATTTGTACCCGTTTTTTTGTAAAAAGTCTTTTAAAAAGATTATTTTGCCCTTCTTCATCAAAAGACTACTTTCTCTCCAAGTATACGCTAGTCCTTTACTGTCTCTGTCTCTCTCCCGTTATTCGCGTTTTTTGTTTTGTTCTTTTCTGAAATCAAAAGGATTTCGTCGTTGTTTTGATTTTTCAACTGCTATTCGTCGTTGTTCCCACATTACGATTTAATTATAGGTACATTGCATTAATTTTCTGGGTTTTTTTTTCTGGTTTTGGTTTTGATAGTCATGTATTTATGATTAAATAGTTTCTTAGTGTTTAGTTTGATAAGTGCATTAGTTTTACTTTTACGATTGTGTTTTTAGGTTTTTTGAACGAGTTTTTATGTTGTTGATGAAAATTCTATAAATTCTTCAGTGATTAGACGTCTAAATTTTTAAAAATTTTGAGAGTTAAATACATGATACTATTAAAGTGATGATACCTTAGATAGGAGCTGAAGTTTTTTTTTCATGTTTTGGCATTATTTTTGGATTTGAATTTGTGTTTTGTTTTTTGTAAAAACTACAGCATGGGGCTGAATGTTTTGTGTTTTGTAACTGGTGAGCTGAAGTTTTTGTGTTTTGTTACTGGTGAACTTCAGCTCTAGAGCTAAAGGTTTTGTTTTTGTAACTGTTGAACTTCAGCTCTTGTTTTTGTAACTGGCGAACTTTAGCTTTAGAGCTGAAGTTTTGTTTTGTAATTGTCAAACTTCAGCCTTCTTAGAGATTGAAGTTTTAATTAATCTTTTTGATAATGTCCTGATGTTATTTTTTGTATGTTTTACTTTTTTTGAACAAATGGCACCTAAAGCACCTAAAGTTCCTAATGCAGCTAAAGTACGCAAAGCAGCTAATGCACCTAAAGCACCTAAACTACCTGTAATACCCTCAGGTCCTTATGTCCTTGCTCCTCCACCTACAAGACCAGGTCAAAGATATTTTGAGTTTCGAGATT